CACCAAACTCTCTGGATTTTTTTTTTAAAGCTCCCAAGTTCCCAGCTAGTATAAATAGCTATGCTTACCTTTTTCAGTGATAGCAACCCCATTGCAGCTTAAAGAAATGTAAGCTTATACCATTTTTCACATGCTTGGCAAAGCCTCTTGATTTCTGGCCAACAGTAAGCAACCTGCCCTGATTCCCAATGTTGCATCCCCTTGCGTATGATAAATGTTTGTAATTAGCAAATTGCTACCCTTCCTACTGCTCATGTTTGAAATGTCAATGGACAAAAAGCATTTTGAAGGTCGTCAGCTCCAGGTTGCTCTGAGCAGGTTATCTTTCTGAAACCCAAGACACCTGTCCTTGTTTATTTACACTTGAAAGAACACTTCCGTACTCTCTCCTCCTTGCTAACAAGAAATGCCAATATTCCTTAACTACTCGTTCCTTTAAAAATAGCTTTGGCCTCTGAACCATCAAGCCTGGCTGGTATCTTAAAGGTCATGGAGACCTGCTGGAGAGCCTTCTGAAAGATAGTAAATCTTCAGAGACTTCATGCTCCTACTACACATATTTGCCAAAGTGCAGTGTAGCAAGCTCTCATAAAGAGAATCCATGGATCGAAGTGATTTCCCCAATCTCATGAGAAGCTTCTGAATCTGCATCAGGTCTATTGATTTGCTTCTAGGTAACTGATTAGTAGAGAGCTTTATGAACAAAAATGTGAAGAGTTGACGTATATTCTTGATATCATACTTAGCCAAGATAAATAGAAGAGATTATTTGTAGCTCAGGTTTTAACTGTGGGGTCCTTAGTGCTCTCTGAGCTTGGGGTTTTTTTTGGCAGACATTTCATTACCAATGTAGGGAACATCATCAGTGCTAGTAACCCTATTCCCAGCACTGCTGATGTTCCCTACTTTGGTAATGAAACACTGGCAAAAAAATAAACTAAGCTCAGAGAGCATCAAGGATCCTACAGCCAAGATAAAGCTAAACCAAGTAAGGGATTTGTTGCTTCATATAGTACACACTTTGTGGCATTTCAATTTTATTCAACAGGACTTCTTTTTAAGTCCATTTAGGATAGGTTTATTTTTTTTTTTGTTAAAGGCAGGTTTTTGGCACAATGTTGAATATCAATATTTCTGAGGTTCAGCCATTCTCTTTCTGTTTTGCCTTTTTTCATATATTTATCATACAAGCAAACAAGAACTTTTGGCATATCTAGCATTTTAAGCCTATGCTCCTTCATCAGGTCCTGAAATCTTGGAATTAAACAAAGTGTTTTAAAACCAAATTCTACTCCAAACCTTTGCTTCGGCTTACCAAAGTTAGGGATGATAGAATTAGAATATGATAACTGCCTTGAAGATTGAAATATTGGAATGAAGATAGGATCCAAATACAGGACACAAATGTTTTCAAAACCAATTTCTGCTGCAACATCCATAGCCATTCTCTTTTTTTAAACTTTTTTTAATGCAAACATAACATCCTTGGAACAAATTTCACTTCTTTTACTAATTGTGTTTCTTTTATCTGTACATATATATGTGTATGTGTATGTGTATGTGTATGTGTATGTATATTTATATGTATATGTGTGTGTGTGTGTGTATGTATGTATACACACACACACACACACATTTTATTTCATATTTCTTTTCTCTCCATTCTATATATAATAACTATTATATACATTTAAATCATCTGATATCCATTTCTTACTGTTAATTTGCTACAGTCTATTTTATATTTCTATCTTTCATTCATTTTCTGGTTTTGTAATTATTTTTTGATTTGTTGATCTTTCTTCTTTTCTTTTTTGCTTTCCTACCTTTTTCTCTTTTTCCTCTAGCCAATTGTACCATAATTCCCATACTAAGTAATATGTAATGGTAATATGTTCCTTGTTGTTGATTGCATTTCCAACACATAGGTGAACACTCTGGGAACATTTTCGCAATTCTCGCTGGTGGGAGATGCCATCTGTATAACATCTTATATATGTTTTCTCTGTATGCTGTTGCCATCATTAATTTATAATTTGTTTCCCAATTTTTTCCCATCTGCCAATTCTATAGTATACCCAAAATTTGTCGCCCATGTTATCATTATTTCTTCCACAATTTATTCTTCCATTTGGAATCTTAATAAATAATGATATATCTTTTTAATCAATTTTTCTTCAGTTCCCTGTAGAATTTTATCTAACTCTTGTGGCTCCTTATAGAATCCATCTCTTTTTCTGTCTTTTTTATATCTCACCTGTATTTGTAGATATGGCCATCAGTCTGTATCTATTCCCTCACCTTTCAATTCTCGCCTTGTTTTTAACCTCTCTTGATTGTCTAATATGTCTTTGTATCTTATTATTTTATTTATGTCCAATACATTCGGGTAGATCAATGCTTCCATAGTGGATAGCCAAATTGGGTTTTTGTTACAATGTTTTCTTTTAATTTTTGACCAAATTTGAAGTAGGTCATTTCTAATTTGATGTCTTTGGAAGTAGCTGTGGGTTTTGTCCTTCCTATCCTAAATAAAGGCGTGCCAACCCAATTCTAAATTATGCCCTTCTAATGTTATATTCTCCTATTGTTAAGGTTAATCCAATCCCTTATCCAGGTGAGAGCTACTGCTTGATAGTAGAGCTCCCAATCCAGGAGTCCAAAACCTCCTTTTTCTCTACTGTTCTGTAGGAGTTTTAATTTAATTCGTGGTTTTTTCCCCTAACCAGATGAATCGTGCTATTAATTTATTTAAATCTGTGAAAAAGTTTTTTCCTGGGCTTATTGGCACCACTTGAAATAGGAACAAAACTTTAGCTAAGACATTCATTTTAACTATGGCAATTCTTCCCATTAATGATATTTGCAGTTTCCTCCAATTCTCCAATTCTTTTTTAATTTTCTGAATTATTTTCTCATAATTATCTTCCTTAATTGTTGAACATTTCCTTGTTTGCCAAATTCCTAGATATTTTACCCTTTTTACTATCTGCATTCCCATAATTTCCTTTAATTCTTGCTCTTCTACATTACCAAATTCTTCTATATTTTGGATTAATTTAGTTCCTGTTTCTAATGGCTCCTCTAATATGAATACCATGTCATATGCGAATGCCTGTGTGTTTTGTATTCCTCCTTTTTTATTTTTAGTCCCTTTATTTCCTGATTGTTTCTAATTTCTATTAATAGAACCTCCAGTGTTTATATAAATAATAAGGGTGAGAGTGGACATTCTTGTCTCACTCCCTTCCAAATTTTAAATTCTTCTATGGTGTCCCCATTTATTATTACTTTTGCTGTCTGAGCCGAATATATTGTTTCTATCATTTTTATAAAATTATCTTCAAATTTCATATTTTTAAACTGCGTAATGATGAACTGCCAATTTAGATTGTCAAATGCCTTTTGAGTGTCTAAAAAGACCAATGATGCCTGTTTCCCTGGGTTCTCTTCATAATAGTCTATTGTGTTCATAATTACTCTCATATTATTCTTTAGCTGACCCATAGCCATTCTCAAGGAATCTCAAGGAATCTCAAGGAACATAATTGGCATCCATCTTACCTGTTCTGCCTTTTGAAAAGTATACAAATGCTCCACATGAGTAGAGAGAGTGAGTGGTGACTTTGTTTCTTGGTTACTGGAATCATTATAACTCGACAAATGTAGGATAAACATGTTTCCTTTTGATGCCTAAAGTCTCCAGAGAAAATCAGTATCTGTGGTGTCCCACTCACTCACATACATGTAACTATGGTTTAGTGGGTTTATTATTTCCCACCAACTCCCTTCACTAAAAACCTAGAACTGTCTCAAATAAATCCAGCCAAAAGCAGACCGATGAAGACTGACAGAGCAATGGCCAATGAGTCCACAAGGCACTTGAAAGTTTCCCAAATAAGATAAACCTACTAGGCAAAATTAAACCCACAATACAAGAGGATTCACAAGGCGAGAATAGTCCAGAGTTTACAAGGCATGATCCAAGTCGAGGCATGGTGTTAATCCAAAGCAAGACAGGGTTCACAACAACCAGGAAACACACAGCTAGGAAATAAACAGGTTGTTCCCAGCATGGCCTCCATCACTCTGCTGTATAAATAGTCAGATTCTGGTATAGAAGGGCGAGGCTGCCTCCTTGCAAATAGTCAGGCTGACCTTCTCTGCTCCTGCCTTTTCTCTGCCCTATGTGCTCTTGGATCAATGCAGAAGGCAGTTCCTCTTCCTCATCACTGACTGGCTGCAGCTGCAGCTGTGCTTCAGCCAAATCCCTCTCAGCTGGCTGCTCAGGGCCACTGACCAACTCCCCCTCCTGACATGCACAGAACTGGTTCATCGTCCTCCAAGCTGACATGTGGAGAGATATCTGGGGAAGTGTCCGGGGGAGTCATCACAGTATCATGGCCTAGTATGACCATGCTTATTCAATTCAAATTCAGTTCATTGTGTATATTTGCCTTTCCAAAGTCCCAAATTGTCACTTAAATAGCACAGGTTGATTGGTGGTGGATCACAGTACAGTGCCTAGGACTCCTGACAAGAAAATTCTTTGAGAACAGCATTGCAAAAAGAGGAATTGTCAGGATTCCCATCCCACCAGCTGTGCTTTGCTTTACTGGCATCCTGCCAAAAACCAGGGGGACCGGGGGGGGGGGGAGGAAGAATACTGGGAAGGGGTGTGTGTGACAGGAACCAGAAATGCCAAACAAATGGCTGAATGATCCAAAGATACAGGCATGGGAAAGCATGCAAATGTTCACCAAAGAGGTGCCAAAAGTAGAACTCTTACCAAAACAACTAATTTAAGCTTCATTGGACATTAGCATGATGTTGTGGGTGGTGGAGGGAAGGCCTGGAAGAATGAGGAAAATTAGTCAGTTTACACAGAAACTTTCAGATCCAACTTTTCTTATGCTTTAACTACAAACACGCTGGGACAGGTCTGACAGGAATCTTTTTCTCCCCCTTTCTCAAATTTCTTGTTCTCCTCTTATTTTTAGAGAAGAGAAGAAGAAGAGAGGCAAAGAGGAGAGGAGCAAATTCGAAATCAGGAGGAACTCAGAGCTCAGGAGCTATACAGGAGTCTCAAGGAGGCCCACCAATGCAGCAAATACAGTGAGAAAGAAGACCATGAATGGAAAGAACAGTGTGAGTAAACCTTTGGAGGATTTCAAATGAGGCCAAGATCTTATGCAGCCTGAACAAATTCTACATGATGTATGAATTGAGTCTTCCTTGAAGGAAAACTCACAGGTCTAAGGACTTTTCTCCACTTTTATGAGTTGAAGTGCTCTTAAACTTGTTTGGTCTCTGTCCTTGTGTAGGCACAAAATAATACCAGCATGACCTTTTCTGTACCCATTCTGTCCCTCTTATCTTCAAACCTTGAAGTCCCTTAACTTTTTCCCAAGATAATAAGTGACAAAACTTAACAATTTCCACTGTGTTAGAAAAAGGCAGGAAATATTATTTTAGCCCTGCTCCAGTTACAAATGACTTAAACCTATCTCAATCCCAGATATTTCTATAGGCTTGGCATTTTGGTGGGAGGAAAGGGGGGGGGAATGGAGTGATCTCTGTTCTGAACCTCCCCCGCCCCAGCCTGCAAATAAACCAGAACACAGGCTTGGCTGTTTGCCACTATTTAATTACTGAGATAACAAATCCTTTGGCTGAGGGCCCAGACAACTCACATTCAATAGAATAGCTTGGCAGCAACCCAGATAGTTCAAATGAAGCAACGCAGATAATCCAAACGAACAGACATGGCTAGAATACAGACAGATTTTCTTCACTACTAATTTGAATGGTTGTTTCCTGCAAATATCCCCTCCCAACGCTTCACTTATAAACTCTCTTGGGAGGGGCCAATCCACAACCACCTGTGCTTAATTATCTTCTGTGAGACTGCCTACGGTTCTATTGAATGTGAG